AGGATATTCGAACGCTCCGGATCTTCAGCAGATGTCGAGATTGTCGAAGGCGTTTGGCCAAACCAAGAGCCTTTGTCGCTTTCGGCAAGGTTTTCTTTTTCTTTCCTTGACAATATGGAGCTTTTTATTTCTTCTTTGGGCCGTTTTTTTTCGTTTTCTTTACCCAAGGACCTTTTTTTTTGCTTTTGATTTTTCCATAGGAGTTAGCGTAAAGAGTTTCCACGCGGGAATTTTTGTCAAGTGCGTGATGTAAATAAAAATATGCAAATCACATGAAATACGAGCAATGAGCGTTTGCCGCGAAAATTTACCCAGGGTTCTCGCCCGTTGACAAGATTGTGACACCTTCCTAGTTTATTAACTTTATTTGAAAATACGTTTTTTTCTAAATAACTCGGCCGCTTTTTGAGATTTTTAATGTTTTTCTTTTGGAAACACTAGATAAAATGACGAACTTAAATTTTGTCAAATAAAAGAAAAAACTACTTTTTTGGCCTCTGAAGGTGGGAAGTAACCTTAACACAGGGGGAGCTCACAGCTGTGCCCAGTATTTTTCAGTATTTCTTTGATGAATACTACCTCTCTTTTTAGTTGAAAGCTGGTGTAATAGTGACATCAAATGAACATTCAATCATTCGCAAACGAGTTATAGTTCTTTCCTTACGTAAAAGGTTACCATAGGAATACTATAGTCCGTTATAACCCTCGATTTTATCTTTTAAGTGCTTATAACTCAAAAAAGGTTCCACAACCTCCAATTTTTTTTTATCAAATTGTAATTAGCTTGTTACATCCATCTATTTGGTTAATAAGATTTCCAACAGGTCGTAGTTCATGGGTTTATATTGATTGTATTTTCAGGGCTGTATGCCAATTAAATGGACTGCACCTGAGATTCTTTCAGGAGATCTTTCTGCGCTCTCAACCCAAAGTGATGTGTATGTACAATATTACCCTTCCAGTTCTGCCTCACTGATTTAAGACGCTGTTACACTACACGATTTTTTGGCAAATTGTCTCGCAATTCTGTCGCACCGTTTCAAGACAAGTTGCGCGAGACATTGCGTAGTATACTGCCTCCTGAAATGAACAACTTTCATCCCAGTCAACGTTACAAAAAAGTACAATATGAGTCTACTTCGTGCAACGTTTGCTGCAAGAACAATGTTGCTAGACGTGTTTTGTAACATTCCTTGAAATTTTGATTTTAATGTTACAAATGACGTTTTCAGGCGACTTTTGTTGCAACCAAATTGGGAGGCAAGTTGTAATAAAAATTACCTAGTGTAGTCGCGCTTTTAATCTCTCTATAACTTGCAACGACTCTACAAATACTGCTAGCCATTACTCCAACACATTCTCGCTGGAGTTGGCAGCCAGACTTGATGAGGTAATGCAATACCAACACAATGAGCATGCGTGACGTGTATTAGTTAAGACTGTAGGAGTCAAATTTATGGTTAAATAATGATGTTTTTTTGATAGTCTTAAGTCAGTGCATATTAGTGTACTAGGGATTCCATCTGTAGTCTACCATTAGCTGAATAAATTTCGAAGAATTTGAAAAGAACGCGAGAGAAATTAATTAAAAGCCATAATTTTGGTATAATTTTACATTTCACTCTTTAATTTGTAGAATGGTAGTATACAATTTTATCTCGTCAATAAAGCCGCGCTTAATTATCACCCATTTTATATCTTCTGCTCTTTGTAAATAGTACACTAGTATACCCAGCTCTGATCTATATTACTAATCTACAGGTGGTCTTATGGAATTGTCTTGTATGAGATCTTCACCATCGGTAAGTTTAACGATTTGTTGAATAAAGACTGCAACAAAAAACGAAACAGAACAGAACCAAAAAGCTAAACAACTAGCCAGCAGATCGCAGCACACTTACATTGGCAAATAGGCTGATGATACATGAAAGAGTATTTTCCTGAAAAATAACTTGCAACTAAGTTAAAACACACCTGTATTCCTTGACAGGAGGAATTCCATACCCAGGATGGTCTGAAGGCAGAGTGGTTCAGGCAGTCCTGAATGGATATCAAATGCCAAAGCCTGACCATATTGACGACCAATTGTAAGTTTGTTTGCTAGCCATTATATACGTTTTTACCTTAAGTTATACTCAGTAATTGTGAGCGCGTTGCGATTGTTTAACACGCTCATGGGAAATTTTCAAATATTATCATGATATCTGGGAATCTGATTGGGTCTGTCTTCACCGAGTATTAACCGCCAACTGACCGAACATGAGGGCCGTACTAGGGAATGTTAGGGCTTGTGCAGCGAGGTCCGTACATAAACGACCGAAGGCCTGGAAATATTGGGCCAATATTTCCAGGTACGATTGGAACAAGTCTGGCTAGTAAGTAGTTTAATCTATAGCACTCCATGGAAGTTGCAAATTTTGAATTCGCCGGCTTTCAAAAACGGAAAATACATGATTTTTGACCTTTTCCATGGAAAGGTCCGTATGGCAAAATCCCAACTAAGAAAGAACCAATCAGAACGTTTGGATTTTCCTCAAGACTACCTTATCATATGACAATTGCCGTATGCCACGATTTGCACACATTGCCCTTGGTAGGGTTTGCTCATTCTTGACTTTGGCAAAAAAAAAATCTAAACAATTGTATTTATCTTCCTCACTGTTTCCAGCAGAGGTCAAGCACTTTACACCGAATTGATTATTTTCCCACAGTCTAATCGTTATATACAGTACGACCAATGATTGCCTCAATATTCAAAGAATATTGAGAAGTACGTCCGTGAGTATTTGCTACAGATGTGTCGGTGTCTTGATAAATGTACGTAAGTTTTTGTCAATCATGCTATGTTGCAAAAATTCCTTAACTTAACCACTCATGTCCAATACTGTCGAGTAGATTCCATCGGAAAAGAGAACTTTCTATTCGTTGTCGATCGGTAAATTACATCTCATTAGCTATTAGCTGGATATAAAGCCTGTCGGATCGATCGATTCGATCGATTCGTCGAATGAACACGACCCGAAACCTGGATGTTGTCGATCGGAAAATCGCATCTCATTGGTGACAATAGACCCGGCGGTCCAACGTTGTCGATTCCACCGCGAAACGTGGATTTTGTCGATCGGAAAATCGCATCTCGTTAGTAACAACAGACCCGGCGGTCCAACGTTGTCGATTCGTTCACAGGCCATTATAACGAAAGCACTGTGAACGAGGAGATAAACACATGAATATTCCTCGTTCTAAAAACACCAAAGGTAGTATAAACGAAACATTGCATAGTCATTTACACCGCTATAAGAAAAGCACGGTGAAAGAGTACATAAACACATGAATATTCCTCGTTCTAAAAACACCGGTGAAAGAGGACATAAACACATGAATATTCCT